CTTATTGCAGTGCCCGGTCCCATTTCCCTTCCCCCCACAGACTGTGGCATTGTAGTACATTTGTTTGGTTTGACTGGTTGGTTGGTTGAATATTTAGGGGAATTTGATTATCATTGGATGTGATTTGGAAGAGTAGAAACTTGTGCATTTTTACATATACAAAGATGCCTGTCAAATCCTCCCTCAGGATTGTAGCCAGGTGGGGGTTGGTCTCTTTTCCCAAGAAACTATCAGCAAGACAAGGGGGCATGGTCTCAAGTTGTGCCAGGGGAGGTTTAGGTTGGATATTAGAAAGAATTTCTTTACAGAGAGGGTGGTCAGACATTGGAATGAGCTGCCCAGGGAAGTAGTGGATTCTCTCTCCCTGGAGATTTTTAAAAAGAGACTGGATGTGGCACTTAGTGCCATGGTCTAGTAACCGCAGAGGTAGTGGATCAAGGGTTGGACTTGATGATCTCGAAGGTCCCTTCCAACCCAGCTGATTCTATGATTCTATGATTCTATGAAAAATGTTCCAACATTTATGGAATGATAGGTAGAGTAGAAAAAGCACTGACACATGGTACCCACTTAGGAAATGGTTTCTGCTAAGCTTTAGTTCTGGTATTGGTTCTCTCTGCCTCCCAGACTGTCCCTGTTGTGATTATCCATCGTGTCCTTCCAGATATATTGATTTAGAAAGCTTTAGGGATTGTGCTCTTCCCACTTATTCAGGTTTTATTCAGTTCAGTGAAGGTCTTGCTTAATGATTGTCCTTAATATTCTGCAGTACCAAAACACTAAGTTTCCTCTTCTGAAAGCATAGTTCATGAAGAAATAACCAAAGAAAAGATCAACAATTCAAGACCTTAATAGCTCAAAATTCAGAAACCAGGGAGGCCCAACCCTTCTGTTTTATGGGTATGGGTCATTCTTTTGGGATCCTAATGATCCTAAGTTTTGAACAGCTGGGATAGGCATTTATTGCCAAGCATTATCAAGCTCTGACATAGGCTTTTTAGCACATTACAGCAAGACCATTGCCTTAAATGCTGCAAAGTCTTTTATATATAATTTTTTTATGTGCAATAGTGTTGTTTCTGTGAGATCAAATGAGTACAGAAGTGTTTACAGAGTCCAGTCTTTTAAAGACACAGTATTCATAATAGATTCAGAATTTTTGTATAACATGATAGGTATTTAGAGAGTAAAAAGCCATTATTTCAATAATTTTATTCTAAAACTACTAATGTATGTGTTATAAATATATATCTATATAAAACATTTCTGTTTATTTCTGTCATTTTCTTGTTCTTGTACATTCTTAAATAAGTATTGACATGACACTCCTGAACAAAAAGAGCAATGAACAAAAAATCCAATGTTTTCAGTTGCTTCATAACTGTTTTTACTGAGTGTAGAATTTAATTTTGTCAAAATAAATTAGGTTGCACTTTAAATTCATAGATTTTTTTCTATTGAAAAGTAGATTTTATGGAGTTATTATTTCTCAAGCACACATATGTTATATCCCAATCGTATGTGTGTATGTCTGCTTTTAAGCCAAATATGTTTATTCTTTAAAAGTGAAACACAATTTCACTATTAATTGACTATTTCTGCACCTAATCCCTTATTTCACTAGCTGAAAATGCAAGGATTTGTTCCCTTCAACTAGTTCTTCCCTTGTTTGAGGATTTTCTTTTTTGTTGTTATTACTATGGGTTGGATATCATAATATTAAAGCAGTTACATTAAGGTAATGGAAAATTAATTTTGTGCCTATTAAGTAAGGCATAATTATGTTAAAATATAGAGGTAATGAACTTTGATCATTCAGAAAAGTCAGAAAATTATTATATAACACATAAAAAATAATGATAGCAAAATTTCAGTAGAATTCTAATAGAAGAGAAAGTATTACTTGTTTCATAAACATTATGATTCTTTTGGGTCCCTTCCAACTTAGTATATTCTGTGATTCTGTGATTATAGTTTCAACAACATAATTATGAGAAATTTCTGCAACACATAATCAAATACACAATCTTACTCTAGAAATCCATTGAACACTTGGAGACATTGGTTGACAACTAAAAGTTAATCCTTTGGAATCAGATGTATCTTCTATACATTCATTTTTCCAGTAAAATAAATACTTTATACTAACTAATGTATTAGGAATAGTTTTTCTTTATCACTAGAATTAAGAGATTTGTGTGGACTCAAGGTGTTTTTTATAGGCTGAGACATCCCCTTTTTTGTCACACAGAAAGTTTGTCTGAGCAGTATGAAATATTTACACATCCAATATTTTAGTCTGCTTTGGATGTTTGAAAATATGTAGTGAACCTCTGTAGATCAACTCCACAGTCAGTGGAGAATGTCAGTTTTCTGTTGAAGTATTGCACTGACTTTGTATATTTATGTTTATATATATATATGTATACACGTAAATAAATGCATACATACATATGTACATTGTGTCTGTCTGGACAGCCAGTGTAACTGACCCTTGATGTGTCACTTCCTGAAGGGGCCCATAGAAGGCATAGATAGAGGTAGCAATTCTTTACACTGCAGCCAGTGAACTTCTGAATTTTCTGGCCACAGGAGATAGTAAAGGCAGCGTGTCAACAGGTTCAACATAGAATTAGACAAATTTGTGGACAATATCTGCAGATACTGAAGAAGAAAGGCAGAGATGCACCTTCTCCCTTCTCCAATGACTGCTGGGGACCCAATGGATTGCAGAAAATAGATAATCTTACATGATTTCTATCAGCACCTTTTACTCCTGCTTGAGGCAGAGTACCAAGCTGGACTGTTGGCCTGGTGCAACACTGCATCTCTCAGAAAGTGGGAGAGTGAAAGTGCTCCTCTATATCCTATGAAGAAAAGAACAGGAGATAGTGAGATTTTACTCTCCCCCTTTGGCTTCAATGCAGCTTAGGCCAGAAGATATTGTAAGGAAGGAACTTAGTCATTAAGGGGTAATGTTTTTAATCTTATAATCGAAAAGATTTAGAAACTGAGAGGTCTGACACTGCTGTTGTGAAGTATCTATGAAGTATCTGGGGGGCTTTAGAGACTGCAATAACCTCAGTGCCTAAGAGATTGATGAACTGCTTTGAGGTCCTCTAGCAAGAAGAGAGAAATTGTCTGAGAATGGGTATCTTTCTCATTGACCTTATGTTTTAGTATTAAAGGCATCAAATAAGAATTGAATGGAATTAATTTAGTCTCCCAAGCTCATCACACTGCAAAGGGGACATCAGAGAATCTGGGTTTTGGATTGTACAGCTGAATGGTATCTGATGTCACAGGTGGAGCAATGTGTTATTTTCATTTTGAAAATTGCTGTAATATGGGTCTCAAAGTGCTTACAAACATCAGCAAAGAATGTTGGGGTGGGATAAGAGAATATGTGTATCAGAGCCATGTGCTATCTGAACAAGGGCAGGAAGGCTTTTAGGTAGACACTCCTTTTCTGCAAAAGGGGGTTAGCACTATTTCTAGCAGGTGCTTGCCTAGTCTGTTCTTACAAATTTCTCCTAATATGGGCTTCATAATCTCCCAGTCTATTCCCCTGTGTCACTGCCACTTCTGCTCAAAATCTTTCTTTCTTGCTCTCTCAGTATTTGACTCAAATGTTCCTTTCTCTTCTGAAGACTGGGAAAGGAGGTGGTGTTAGCCTTCTGCTACTGACTTGTTCTAATGCATAAAGAGCACTGGAATTTTAAAAAAGATGTAACTTGAGAAAAGCTTTTCCAGCCTCTAGAGAGGCCATATGAAGAAATCAATGTAAGAGGAAATATAAAATTTTGTCTTGCCATAGAATTTTTCCAGAGATGAGGAGGTAATAGGATAGAATAGGATAGGATAGGATAGGATAGGATAGGATAGGATAGGATAGGATAGGATAGGATAGGATAGGATAGCATAAACAGACTATTCCAATTGGAAGGGATGGACAATGGTCCTCTAGTCTAACTGCCTGACCAGTTCAGGGCTGACCGAGCTAAATCATGTTGTTAAGGGCATCATCCAAATGCCTCTTAAACACTGACAGACTTGGGGCATTGACCTCTCTAGGATACCAGTTCCAGTGCTTGAGCACCCTCTCAGTAAAGAAATGCTTCCTAATGTCCAGTCTAAACCTCCCTGGTGCAGTTTGGAACTATTCCCACGTGTCCTATCACTGGACACCAGAAGAGCTCAGCACACCTCTCTCCACGTTCCCCCCTCAGGAAGCTGTAGAGAGCAGTGAGGTCACCCCCCAGCCTCCTTTTCTCCAAACTAAACAATCTCAGAGTCCTCGGCCACTCAAGGAATTTATGTTCTTGCAAGCTTTGTAAATGCTTTAAATCTTCTGGAAAACTAAAAGGACCAGAATATTTCAAAATTCAAAATGTTTCTGATATATTTAAACAGCAACATGAAGTGGAAATAGGAGAAAATTAATTGCATACATAGGTTTGTTTGTTAGTTTTCCATAAGAACAGAGATTAAAGGCTACCACTGTACTAAGACTAAATTAGAAACATGGATCTGTAGTTCCTTTAGTGGTCTCTTTAAACATTCACTAAATTTTTTTAATGATTATGGAAATTTGCCTGATTGATCACTAATTACAAATGAACTCCAATATTAGATTAGTGATGATATTTCTTGGACAAAGGAAATTGAATTCCCAAGGTTTGTATTCTTACACTAAGCCAAATATTCCCTGGCCCTCTGCAGCACCATTTGTATTTCAATTAGTTTGTGGCTCTATGCCACTAGTTACCATACCTTGTTTTTAATGTAGTCATCTACTGCCTGCGAAATGAAAGAGCATTCATTTTTTCTTCTAAAATCAGGTTTCCTATGTGTATTTTTTAAGAGCAAATCAGCTGCTATAGTTCAGTCTGTAATTTAAAGGGATAAATCCAACACATTTGAAAGCTAAGTACCACACATAATTTGACACACATATATTTTTAATATCCCTTAAGAAAGCCAGTGATGAGTTGGCAAATTCTTTGAAAACTCAACTCACCTAAAATCAGAAGATAACTCAAATTTCCAGAAGAAGAAACTTTTCAGCTTTGTACTTCATTGGTGTCTTCAATCTGAATGTTTTACTTCATGGTTTTTTTATTGGCAGGAGTAACTGCTTTCTAGTAAATTGGAACGCTTCTGAATTTTTTAATCAATATATAAATAAATAACCATGTCACACAATTATCTGTCCTAGTAGTACTTAGAATATTTATCTTTTTCTCATTTATTTGTTGCAACCAGCTCTCGAAGCAAGTTGTATACTAAAATTCAGTACAGAACAACATAGTCTGTTCTAATGAGGGATAGATACCATAAATAAAGGTTACATGTGTTTCAGTTTTCTAATTTGATATTCTGAATTGGCCATGTCATGTTGATATGGTTTGAAGCTGGGTCCCTGCCAAGTCTCCAAACCTTACGACAAGAAGTCCCCCCCCAAACCTCAGGGAGAAGGGGAAAAAAAAAACAAGAGAACCGAAACAAGAGAGAGACAGCTAAAGCAATATATATAAATATATTTACACTTATATTACAGTTATATACAATTGAAATATATATACAATTTCAAAAGGAAAAGGGAAGGGGGAAGGGAAAAAAAAAGGAACAAGCAGGGATTCTGCTTGTGCAGGGCCAGCTCGATTGACAGAACCCCTGGTGTTAACTAGCCATGTGGCCTTGGCTAAGTTCTTATCCCAGTTTTTGTAAGTTCCCTCACCTAGTGCCTTCAAGGTAGTTTTTAACAGTCCATTACTTCTCTCAACCTTCCCAGCAGCTGGTGCATGATATGGAATGTGGTACACCCATTCGATACCATGTTCCCTTGCCCAAGTGGTGACTAAGTCATTTTTGAAATGAGTCCCGTTGTCCGACTCAATGCATTCTGGGGTCCTGTGTTGCCACAGGACTTGCTTTTCAAGACCCAGAATGGTATTCCGGGCTGTTGCCTAGGGCACTGAAAAAGTCTCTAGCCATCCGGTGGTTGCTTCCACCATGGTAAGCACATAGCGCTTACCTTGGCAGGTCTGTGGCAATTTGACATAATCAACCTGCCATGCCTCTCCATACTTATACTTATCCCATCGTCCACCATACCACAGGGGCTTCAGTCTTTTTGCCTGCTTAATAAGCGGCACAGGTTTCACAATCATGGATAACTTGAGAAATGATATCCATGGTTAAATCCACCCCTCGGTCTCGTGCCCATCTGTGGGTGACATCTCGGCCCTGATGACCTGAAGCATCATGGGCCCATCGAGCTAGGAACAACTCTCCCTTCTGCTGCCAGTTTAGGTCTACTTGTGACACTTTGACCTGTGTAGCTCGGTCCGCTTGTTTGTTGTTATCGTGTTCTTCATTAGCTTGTTTCTTGGACACATGGGCATCTACATGGCGGACTCTCACATTCAGACTCTTCGCTCTGGCAGCGATGTCCTGCCACAAGTCAGCAGCCCAGATGGGTTTTCCTCCACGTCTCCAGTTCATCTTCTTCCATTGGTCTAACCATCTCCATAGGGCATTGGCTATCATCCACGAGTTGGTGTAGAGGTAGAGCCTTGGCTCTCATTCGGCAATGTCCAGGGCCAATTGGACGGCTTTGAGTTCCACAAACTCACTCGACTCACCTTGACCTTTGACAGCTTCTGCCACTCGTCGTGTGGGGCTCCAAACGGCTACTTTCCACTTCCGATTCCTTCCTACAATACGGCAAGAACCATCAGTGTAAAGGGCATAACGCCTCTCTTCATCTGGCAGCTGATCAAATGGCGGAGCAATCTGGCTATACTCAGGGATGTGCATTCTCCAGAAGCCTATGGCCCCCAGGAAAGCTTGTGTCTCCTTCTTGTTGGTCAGCAGAGCCATGACTACAATCTTATTGATGACATCTGTTGGTATCTGGCGCCATCCATCTTGCCATTTCACCCCTAGGAACGGGATCTCTCTGGCAGGTCCCTTGACCTTATTCTTCTTGATGGTGAAACCGGAGTCAAGGAGAATCTGGATGATTTCCTCTCCTTTCTTGAAAACTTCTTCTGCTGTGTCCCCCCATACAATGATGTCATCAATGTATTGGATATGTTCTGGGGCCTTGCCCTTCTCCAGTGTGGCCTGAATCATTCCATGGCAGATTGTTGGACTGTGCTTCCACGTGTACTGCACACCTCTCCACGTGAAAGCAAACTGCAGCCTGCACTCCGCTGCTAAGAGAATGGAGAAAAATGCATTGGCGATGTCAATGGTGGCATACCACTTTGCTGTCTTGGACTCCAGCTTCATACTGGAGCTCCAACATGTCTGGTACAGCAGCACTCAATGGTGGTGTGACTTCATTCAAGCCACAATAATCCATGGTCAGTCTCCATTTGCCATTGGACTTACATACAGACCAAATGGGGCTATTGAAGGGTGAGTGTGTTCTACTAACCACCCCTTGGCTTTCCAACTTGTGGATCATCTTATGGATGGGGATCACAGCATCTTGATTTGTCTGGTACTGTCACCTATGCACTGTCTTAGTGGCTGTCAGCACTTGCTGGTCCTCGACTCGCAGTAATCCTACAACAGAAGGATCTTCTGAGAGGCCAGGCAGGGCAGATAATCATTTGGATTCCTCTTCAGTCACCGCGGCTATACCAAACACCCATCGGTACCCCTTCGGGTCCTTGAAGTATCCTCTTCTGAGGTAATCCATGCCGAGAATGCAAGGGGCTTCTGGCCCCTTCATAATGGAATGCTTTTCCCATTGGTCTCCTGTCAGGTTTATTTCGGCCTCTTCCACTGACAGCTCTTGAGACCCTCCTTGTCACCCCAGAAATCAAAAGTCTCTGTGCTCACATGTCCCGAGGGCATTAACGTACACTGTGCACCGGTATCTATTAGAGCTTGGTATCTCTGAGGATCCGATGTGCCAGGCCATCGAACCCACACAGTCCAGTAAACTCTGTTATCTTTCTCATCCCTCTCCATCTCCTGGCAGAAGGCAGGGACCCTCTATTGGTTCTGGTTGGAGCATTCACCATCGGATCTTTGCTTCGGCTTGTCAGAGGCTTTCTTGTCATCCTGGAAACAGACTCCAGTCTTCCTGCATCTGGGAGATCTCAGTTCTCTTTCAAAGAAATCTGCATCTACTACGTAGACGACTTTCTTATTGGCTTCCTTGCGTTTTAGTTCTCTCACTCTGGCCTCAAGTCTGGAAGTAGATGCACCATCCCACTTCCTCATGTTTTCTCCCTGAGTGTGCAGACAGGACCACAGTTCACTGCACTTAGATCTACGCTTAGGGTTTTCGCTCCTTCTGCATGTGACGGAAGGAGATCGTGAGCGGGACCGGGACCAAGATCGAGATCGTGGTTGAGACTGTTCTGCTGTAGCAGTTCGTTTGGATACATGTCCGGAATAAAGACAAGTGCCAAAAAATACTCAAACACACAAAATATCTTTATTACAGTGAGAATAAAAGTAATAGTGATAAACCTAGCAAGAGGAATAAAAAACTAAAAAAGGATACAAAATAACTATATTATCAGGTGGCATTAAAACAAATAC